ATTTTGACCAAAACAATCAAAAGTGGACAAATATTCAGAGACGGAAAACTGTATTATAATAATATAATATATACATAAACTATGTTTCAAAATTAATATATTGATATTAAATTTATATTATAATTTAATGTAATTTTTTAATATATAATTAAAGATTGAAAATTTTGACCAAGAAAATTTAATTAAGAAGAATGTTTTTGAATGGAGGGCCGGGGATACTTTAGAGCCAATGGCTGGCCTGTGCACATCGATTTTAGTTGGTGCAACTCATGTCATGATTAAAATTTATTTACTCCTTCCGTCTCAAAATGTTCACCATACCACATTTTGAATAACATGTAAAATATTTTCTATTTTAAAATAATTTTATTTATAAATTGATAGAAAAGTAAAAAGTATGGAGTATAAATTACATTGTTCAAAAGTATGTCGAAAATTATATAAAACAAGATGCGACAAGAATATCTTATTTTATCAGATGTTTATCGAAAACGACTAAACAAACAAAAGTTATTGAGAGACCGAAATAGTAACTGTGACAATCTTTTTGGGATAGAGGGAAAATATCTTTTGACTTGAGCCTCTTATCTTTCTCTAATAGTACTTTTAGGATTTATGTTTTGAATGTCCTTGAGTCACTCATCCTACTCATATTCTAGCAACATTAACTATTAAGTTCCAAAATAAAATGATTGTCATATATTCTCCTATAGACATTTTTTAAAAAAACAAAACAACTCCTCATTTATTCAAAAATGTTATAACAAAACCAAGCAGAATAATAGACCAGTCACCAATCTGGACCCTAACCCTCTTAGCCAACTCATCAGCCACCATATTAGATGACCGACGAACAAACAACAAAGAAGCATAATTAAATTCAGATAGCAACCCCCGACAATCATTAATAACTGAACCAACATAGGACAAAAAATAGAAAAGGTGATAGAAAAGGTCCGAGAACACCTCCAATTGATGATAGAAAAGGTGGAAAAATCATTTCACCACATCTTTTTGTAGCCTTATCCAAGATAGATTTTGTAGTACATTTTCTACAAGTCACGAATGCGAATAAGGCCCCAGTGTTGAGTGTCTAAGTTGAGGATGGATATGTGGCGCATTGCAAGTTACCCGATCTGTGTACCCCATAATACAAGCACCTAGATCTCTCTATTGTCGTGACTAAAGTCAACTTGACCGGCTCAAATTCAAAAGAGTGGTCGAACAACACCATAGCTACCCGACATATATGTTCCAACCGTGCAATGTTCATCACGACGTTAAGGAGTTTATCGGTGACAAGGTATTGATTGGGTAACTCTACCCAATCTATTGTTGAAGGTGTGGGAAATGTGAGGTTTAAAATGATGTATGGCAAGGATCTCACGCTGAACGACGTTGTCTATGCGTTAAAGATCCGTAGGAATATCGTTTCAGGTTCTCTTATGAGCAACTATGGTTTTGGTTTGTATTTAAGTCTTATAATGTTAGTTTGAGTAAAAAGGTGTATTCGCATGCAAAGGATGTGAGTCTAATGGGCTATTTAAGCTAAATGTAATTAATGGATGTTGTTGAGAATATCAATTAAACTCTTGTTGGTTATTTGTGCGAGTCTTCCATATTGTGACATTGTAAACTAGGTCACCGTTCATTCATTCCAAGCGATTAAATGAATCACACAGCTACTATATCTAATTCACATGGACATGTGTAATTTTAAGACAACATCCTCAAGAGTTGGTTACAAGTATGTTATGATCTTTGTTGATGATAGTACGTGGACATTTTCTTTGAATTCAAGTTGAGTACGTCACCACTATGGTGACTCCCCATCGTCACCATCATCACGGTAGCTTTGTGTTCGTTGTTTGGATTTCTTCAAATTCAAGTTGAGTACATGGACATCTAACACTAGATTATACATATAGGTTTGAAACCCACATCCGGAACTGATGTTTGATTTATAATATGTGGATTTATATTGAATTATTGTCTTGTGATGATCTTGAGCATGAAATCTAGGTTTTGAGATTTATCTCAATTCATATTATGTTGAATAACGTATGAATTTGACCTTGAATACGCTATAATGATCCTTGTGTGATACAATGAATTGGTAATGGTTTGGGTAATGTTTGGTGTGATATAACTTCCCCGTCATGGACGGATTGAGGTAAAAGGCGGCACGTTATTCAAATAAATCAGGTAATTGTTTGAATAATGCGTTGTTCCAGGTTCAAGATTGGCTACTGGTTTATTCAAATAATCTAGGCTTCCCGTAGGTGCATTTATGCTGCCTTAGTCGACTAAGTGGAGCCTTATTCGAATAAGGCAGTGTATCAAGTACTGGTTTATTTGGATAACCCCGTCCTTATATGAATAAGCCAATTCAGCTCGTGACTCAAATTACTTCCGAAGTCTTATCTGTTGTATGACGATAAGTGTGGAAGTCTTCTCCCAACACTAGGTTGCCATGTGTTATGATTGATTGTTATGTGTTGATTCAACACTCACGTATGATGATATTGTTATGGTTCATCCAACTTTGAATATACCAGTAAGAGTGGATTGATCCAGCATGCGAACTACAGGTTACCATGGGTGTTGATATAACACCATGAGCTCAAGTAAGTCTACGTAAAAGAACTCCATGACTGGCCTAAGTAGTAATATTAGAAATTAGAGCCATATGGTGCCTATTGGGGCCAATGACTATTCGGGTAAAAAACGTACGTATAGGTATCCTTGAACAACCTAGTGATCCATCAGGTAGGGATTCCAACCACCCATCAGTGAACTCTTTCGTTGGTTGAGCATGACCGCTGATACAATGGGAATAATCATGATTTTCATAACATCATTTCCATATTTTCCCTCAAAACACTCATTTTCAAGCGATGCACAAGAAAACAAATTATAAGATAAATCAGACACATGACTAACATTCTTTAAGGTTTTAACAGATCTAGAATCAAATTTAAGACACATATCTTCAATTCCAAACACTTTGCATTTCTTTTCATTAGCCATGGACACAATAACATTATCAATCTTTTGATAATTTGAAAAAAGATTTTAAATAATGACATATGAAATGTACAATCAGAATCAACTAGCCAATAAAATTCATAAAGATAATCAGATTGCACAGAGTTCGGAAAAGCATAGTCTTGCAAATCTTTAATCATGAACATATCACCTAAATTGTTTGATCTACTAGCCATATTAACATGATCCTTTTACTGATTTTTCTTAGGCTTAGGAATTATTACTAAGGGGTTCGTATTCATTACAATTATAGCATTTTCTTATTTTAGATTTGGACCACGACTTACCTCTTCCCTGGTTGGACTTTCTCACGTTTGAGTTATCATTATAAGCATATATATGGTTTTTAGACTTACTTAAAGTTCTATCCCTCACATGCATAACCTCCCCAAAATTTTTATCACTCTTATAAGTTTTCAACTCTAGTTCTTACTCTTAGGACCATTCACAACAATATCAAGAGAAATATTACCCGTAACATATTAAAGTACAGATTTATCAATATATTTATCACTGGTTAATTTAATATTAGAATCAGTTTGCTGAGAACATCTAGAATTTTCTTTTATGTCTTTAGACATGTCCAATCTAAATTTGAATTTTATTGTTTGGCAAAAAAGTTCCAGTATAAAGTTCATTAAGTTTATTCCAAAGGTCTTTAGCACGTTTCAAAATATCAACTTTTCTAATTATGAAGTCAACTAAATAAATTATAGAACAAACAACTTCATTCATTTCAACTTTTTTTATTTAGTGTGTGTTTCTAGATATGAACCACAAACAACCCTATAAACTTTTTGATGAACAAGAGCACACTTCAACTTTTGTTTCGGAATGTTGAAATCAGTTTTTCCATCGAAATGAGTCAAAGCATGCTGATTCATAGTAGACATATTCACACAGGAGAAAAGCAACCAAACAAGCAACCAAAAAGAAACCAAATTTGGCCTAAATTTTCAAGTGTGGCTCATGTGTGTGTGAAGTAATTGCACGAACAAATCGAGAAAAGTACGTTAGCAAAGTTGCTCACTTAATCTTGTTGTTCTTTCATACAAACACATACTATAATAGTGGAATCAGAAAATTAAATAACACATCAAAATAAAAATAACCCTAAAAACTACTACGGAAGCAAGGGATAAATAGCTTTGTACCTGAGCAAATCTAATGCCTAGATTCATCTAACCTACTCCAAGAAGGAAGGAGAAAAGAGTTGAGGTGGCAGTGGAAAGATTATGAACTGGAGCCTCTTCTCTTTGTGAGTACTTACTCTATATGAGTTGCCTCTGTTCTTCTCTGTTTCTTTGTGAGTGAAGTTTTGTTAGGTTGAGTTGGGGTGTTGCTCCTTTTGGTGCTTTTGTAATACACAAATACGGATCAATTTTACGGGTGACCTGAGTCTAATCGGAATAAATAAATACACCCAATAGTGGTACTAGGGCCTAATTTATGCTCTGTTTGTTGTATTTATTTATTCTAATTAGACTCGGGTCACCCGTAAAATCGATTCGTATTTGTGCATTACAAAAGTACTAAAAAGGAGCAACACCCAACCCAATCTAGCCACACTCCATACGACCGTACCACCAGCAACCAATATCGGTGTTGGTATCCCCATAATGATATTGGGAATCAGCAATTCCAAAATCAAAGCCAACCCGAACAAGTATCACGTCCATTGCTAAACTAAAGATGTCAAATAAAATTGCACGCTGAATTATGATGAGACAAACTCATTGGTTTATCAATGGGTCGTGCTACAAACCAACCACGAATGTCTCTATAAGATACTCATATTTTTTGTACAAACACACATAGACGGTAATCGTCAATACAACATAGATATGTGTCTAGGAGTAAAATATGGGAGTAGTGATGTGGTGTTACACTTGGGAGGAGAGAATACACAAGACTACTATAACAGTACAGTAAGATTGAAAAGAAACAGCCGACCAAAGTGCCCCATTCACCCATCGTCTTCCTTGTAAGCCCAATGAACGCTATCCTCCCCTGTTCCTCCTCCACCCAACACCCCCTACTCCTCCGTCCCCCTTACCCACAACACCACCTACGCCTCCGCGTCTGACTCTCTCTATCTGTATGCCCTCATATCTACACCGCCATTACATTCCCTTCCACCCGATTTTGACTCTAGGTTTCCCCGTTCCGGAGCTCCATGTGGTATGCTCGGTGCTTTCATGAATCTCCTCTCGCTGTGCTGGAGCAATAATACTGACAGTGCTAACACTAGCGGCGGAGGCGGCGGCGGTTACGGCAGCTCCTCCAATGGCGCGGCGTTCGGGAGAGACGGGCTGTTGTGGTATCACGAAATCGGAAAGTACGGGAGCGGGGAGTTCTCGATGGCCGTCGTGCAGGCCAATCGGGTCCTCGAGGATCAGAGCCAGATTGAGTCGGGTCGGTTCGGGACTCTCGTTGGAGTCTACGATGGACATGGCGGCCCTGATGCTGCTCGATACGTCTGCGACAACCTGTTTCGCCACTTCCAAGGTTCGCTCTTCAGCCTTTCCGGATTTAGGGTTCCGATTTTGGAAATAATTTATCGATTCTTTACCTGATTGGATGCCAGAAATTTGTTGATCCCGTAGGGTTCTTGCAATTTCTTAGCCCGAGTTCAGAAATTTGCTTTTGATGGTTTTCAATTCAGCAAACAGTAATACCGTATTGTTATGTTGATGCATTTAGGTTGGCATTGGATCATAATTTGGATATTAGATTTTTCCCTACAGATTAAAAAGAAAAAGACAAAGAAGATGAATGTTGACTGTGATAAGCATTTTTTTATCATGCCTGTTATGATCATATGTAACAGGTATTGGCGTAGATGAGTGGATTCTTTAGATACTTTTTTCTGATAGATTCTTTGAAGTCTTTTGAGTTTGTGAAAGGGAATGAATGACTTGCCAGTTGGTGTTGGGTTCTGGACTTGCAACTATGATTTGTTTTGGTAGTTTTCTAATTTGAGGGTAAGGATATGAAGCTTTAAAGCATCATTGTTAATAACACGCCAAGCATGTTGGAGGCTGCTACTGTTCACATTCTTCACTTGTGCTCACAAAAAGTGAATTATCAATATTGGAATTTATATATGGGTTATATGGTGTTGCAGAGCTTCATAGCGTACATAGTCAACTGCTAACAAAGGTTAAAAGTAGTAAAAAAGTTCAATAGGGGCAATTGTGTTGTGACTTGTGAAGGATGCCAAGAGTGGCAACTGAATGGATCAGATGAATTCTTATTCAGATGATGACAGGTTGATTAAAAACTACAAAGTCTCTATTAACCCACACACGATCCATTAAAAACTCATTTAAAAAACCAATCTATCTACGATCCGTACGATAAAGTCTATCCAATTCCTGTCCATCAGTTACCAAAATTTTTATCCGTCTAGTTTCACATTGATTGCCTGTTGTCATGCAATCATGTGTAATTGTGTATTGATTGAGCAAGACATATATTGATCCTTTAGCATAAAATCCACATATATTGCAGAGTATATTACTCCCACTTCATTGATAATGTATTGAGATTTACACTGCCTTACCCCAATAAAAACAAAAATTCTGTTTCCATTAGATCTTTGATGCATTTACGTCTTTAGACTCCATAGAAAGTAGTGTAAGAAGCAAGATAAGTGTAACATGTAAATTGTCATTTTGATTTTGTCCGTTCTTTACCTTAAGATAAAACATTGTAAAAAAAATTCTTTTAGCTCGGTTGGCAATGTATGTAGTAATAAGTCATTAATACATGTGAAAATGTCAATGGTTCCAATCTATTTAGAAAAGATTTGTTAAAATGCTACTGATGAATTTATTAACAATAATGGATGGATCGCTAATGATTAACCATCCATATTATACAAATGGGTGGATTGGACCAATCCATTGGTCACTAACCATCCATATTATAAAAATAAATGGAATGAATTAGCTTTTTAAATGTGTGTGCAGCATTATCAGACGAGAATAACAGTGTTGTAACTGCTGATATAATCCAAAGGGCATTTTCAGAGACTGAGAGAGGGTTCACTGCCCTTGTTTCAGAGCAGTGGAATTCTCAACCCAATTTGGCAACAGTTGGTACATGCTGCCTCGTTGGAGTTATATCTCAGCAGACTCTCTTTGTGGCAAGTCTTGGGGATTCTCGTCTTGTGCTTGGGAAGAAGGTAGGTAGCACAGGGGAAATTGCTGCTCTCCAGCTCTCTGAAGAGCATAATGCTAACCTCGCAGCTGTTAGACAGGACCTCAAAATGTCACATCCAAATGATCCTCAAATTGTTGTTCTCAAACACGGGGTTTGGAGAGTTAAAGGCATAATTCAGGTAATTATTCTTAATCAAAATGGTCTTGTTTGAATAGCCATGATCTTTTCTGAGTCTGCTTTGTTATCAGTCATCCAAATGACTAGTCTTTTTTCATTGGTATTGAAAAAAAAATCAAGTGAAAAGGTTGTGTTTTGTAAATGGAGAATGTGATACAAACACATTCAAAACACACACACACACACACAAAGCCACATAGGTCTTATAGTGCACTGGATAATAAAGAATTCAAGATGAACTGGAAGTGGACGTAGTCTCTTTGGCACGTGTAGCTGAAAGCTGAAATGGAGGTAGGAACTGAGACTTAAAAGTTCTAGTTGGGCTTAGATTTTAGAAGTGTTTGGTGATAAAATTAGTTTTTGAGTAGCCAATTTATATATAAAAAAATATAAAACTGCATTCCTTGTATTTATAGATGGATAAAGGGCATTACTCTTGTAAAAGAATAAGGTTATTACTGGATTACTGGAAACAAATAAAGAAACTAGGAGCTTATTTATGAAATGCTATAGAAGACAGCATTTCAAATAGGAGCTTATTTTAAGCTCTAATTCGTTCTATCAATCAAACATGACTCATACTTTATTTGGAGCTTAAAATATATAATAAGCTCCAATACAAGCTCTAGGAAACACCGAAACACCTCATATGACTATATGCATATGGTAATAAAGTTTTTTTGACAAACTCCAATTGCAAGGTGATATGCTATTATGTTGACTGTTTAGCTACTCAGCTAAACAAATCCTATTAAATGACTCTTTTGACAAACCAAGGGTTTCCTCCTGTAATGCAGATCTCAAGATCTATCGGCGATGTGTATTTGAAACATCCGCAATTTAACACGGAACAAATAAATGCGAAATTCAGAGTTCCAGAGCCTATGGACATGCCATTCTTGTCTGCTACCCCATCCATTTTAATTCATCCTCTAGACCCTAACGATTCTTTCCTCATATTTGCTTCTGATGGCTTATGGGAACATTTGAGTAATGAAAAGGCCGTAGATATTGTTAATCGCCACCCACGCAATGTAAGTACATCTTTCTAAGTTTCTCTTTTGAAATTTTACTACCAACTATATTCATTTATCATATCCAAACTACAATCCGAGAAAAGATAATGCCATTCTTATACGAAGCATGTTGTTTTCTAGGTTATATTTGGATCAAATAATGGCTAGGAAAAGGACAAAAGATGTTAAGGGAACTTATTTTCTTATGCTCGGTGTTTCATTGGAAATGCAAATGAAAACAAATTGTGATTATATTTATTAATTTCACAAAAAGTTAGATTTCTTACTTGGTATATATGATAATTATCAATAAATAAAAAAAAGTACCAACAAATATCTAAAGCAAATCGATTGAGTTTATCCCATCTTATAAATTCTCCCACATATTACTGTTTTCCCTTTTAATCTTTATCTATGTTTCCTAGTTCCAAACAGACCCTTAATATAGTGCAACATTGTGAGAATCTCAAGCTTGTAACTTGCACATGCAGGGGAGTGCAAAGCGGCTGATCAAGGCCGCTCTCCAAGAAGCTGCGAAAAAGAGAGAGATGCGCTACTCGGATCTTCATAAAATCGACAAAAAAGTGAGACGGCATTTCCATGATGATATAACTGTCATTGTTTTATTCTTAAACCATGACCTCATCTCCAAAGGCATGGTTCAGGACCCCCCTCTTTCCATCAGAAGTGCTCTTGAACATTAACAACAGAGCAACACCAGTCACTTATATGTATATTTCATGTGACTGATGTCTTCATCATCATCATCATCATCTTCTTCTTCTTCTTCTTCATCTTCTTCTTCTTCATCATCTTCTTCTTCTTCTTTATCATCTTCATCATCTTCTTCTTCTTCATCTCAGTCCAATAACTGCCATTTTTTTGGAGATTCTACCTGACCTTTGTTGTCTGTCTTATAATAATAGTTAATAATGATGATGATGATGATTCTGTGTCAATATTAGGTTGGTTATTCCATTCCATTTTGATCAATGTAGACTGAAGCAATGAGTTCAGTAGATTTGTTTTATGAATATTTCTTTTTTTTTTTGTAATTTGTCCATACGGACAGAAAGTGATTGAATAACCATTTGTTTTCAGCACTTTGAGAGAATATCAATTACGTTCCATTCACACGTTTGGTTCGAATAGCGACTGATTAAAAATATTACGGAGTACTCCATATGTGAAAGTGGGAATGAGTTTGGGCATATTTTATTTTAAAATATCGAGTTCACATTTTTCTATGACAGTTGCATTGTATTAAACCCCGGTGAAGTGGGGACAGTAACTTTATATACTTTAATCACTTGAAAATGTATGAACATATACAACTTAACTGAACATATTCCGTATTTTATACTTCATACTTTAACATGTTTCTTCTAAGTTATTTTTCGGCTTGAAGCATGATTGCAACAAATAATCTGGTATACTTTGTACTCCCACCGTTTCAGATTAAGTTGCTTGTTTACTATTTGTATGGTCAAGTTTTATTCACTTTTTTTCCTTATATTCGTTAGGTATTTGATAAAATAACATAGTCATGTCACCATTAGTTTTGTATATCTTTTGATGTAGACTTTAAATATGTAATTTTTATTTTTTAATTTATTCCATTTTTTATACAAAATGATTTGAAAATAATTTAAGTCAAATACCGTAAACTAAAAGAGACAATTTAAGTTAGGACGGAGGGAGAACATAAATTTGTTGGAACAAATGACCAACACTAGAAAAGAGCAAATAGTGTTCTATAAGAATGTTGAATGTTGATAAACTTTTGTGAATTAAAAGTTATAGGACTAAAATAAAGCACGAAAAAAATATAAAGAAAAATGCAAGGATAATATACTGATTTACAATTCCTAAGTGACTTACTCAAGATTTCACATGTCAATCAAGCTTACTGGGTACTTGACAAACTGTTTGTAATTACTTGTAGATATCCCCTTTATAATTCTTCAAATTGCTCGTACTCGCTCAAACCTTCAACTACTAAGATTACTAGTTCTTAGAAAACTGAAACTCAGAAACAAAAGGTTAATATAATCAAAGCTATGGTATGAAATAAAGATTTCTTGATCACAATGATGTTTAAAGACACATATTTGTAACTAAAAATGTATAGGGTGTTTGGGGAAAAGTAAGTAAAAAAAAATCATTTAAGACAATTAAAATATGTCTATTTCCTAAAAATCAACAGGTGGTGCCAAGAATATTATCGTTGGTACCCAAAATGACTATTGAACACTTAAACGTTGAAGGTGTTACCGATAAAAAATATCACTTAGTAAAATGAGCATAACTCTCTCATTTTTTGTTGAAATTGAGTGATTTCAAGATTAGTTTTTTGTAACAGAGAGAACAACAAGCTTGAAATTTTGAATTTTACCAAATTCAAAAAGTGTCAAATTCAAAGAATTCTCCAAAAGATAGAGTTTAAGAACTTGAGTTTTGGAGGACTCAAAAGTAAACAAATGTAATTCAAAAGGTCTTTTACGATGAAATGCAAAATAATGGACTATCTTTTTCTTTATATATTTATGATCTTTTAAAATTTGAAATTATTGCTATTTTTTAACAAAGTTGTGCTTTTAGTTTTTTCACAAAATTTCACTAATGTTTTAGTAGTATTATCTGAGTTATGCATTTTTTTTATTTTTTAGCACGATTTGAGCATGATATGATATTGTATCATTTCATTTCAAAACGGAGTGGCACCTAATAAATTTGTGGTTATCTCACCCCAATATTGATACATTTAAATAAGAGTGGTTCATAATAGATTCTGAATGTCTGGTAATATAAATAACCGTCAGAGACCATGCCCACCATTAGATTAATGTTGTATAGTTTTCTGAAGGGTGATGCTGTGCAAATCCTAATTAGTTAATACGTATATTATAAGCATATTGTACTCACGTATGCATATTATTTTTAAAAATACTTTAAAATAGACATATATATCATATTATATGTATATTAAGTATTAAATGAATATTGCATTATAATTTTTTGGTAGAACAACAAATATTAATTTGTTCCAACAACTATTTAAACAGAATAGTACTTTTATCAACTACTTATATTATACCATACTTAGTTAATGTCACAAAATTAAAATATATAATATTTAGCAAAATATTAGTTACTAAATTAATTAGTTTAAAAATACTCTCTCGATTCTACAAAAAACTTACATTTTTTGTCCATTATAAGAAAAAGTGTTCACTATTTTTCTTTTCCTGTCCCAAAAACTTCATTTTCTTAAAGAAATAAACGAGTAAATCACAACTATTCTTTATTTTCTACTAGGAAACTAAAAGCAATTTCTTTAAACTACGTGAAAATTAAAGGATGTTTCTCCTAGTGGTAGGGAGTATAACTTTTGGAATAAATAATTAGAAAAAAGATAGGTTCAAATTTGATAAATTCTATTGTAAATATTACGTCTACATATTTTTGTATTTTGTTTATTTACTTTATTATAAATTGATGAATATCATTCAATAAATATGTGTGTATTTGACATGTATTATGCTAATACATATGAACATATAATAAAATGTATTTTAAACATAAAAAAAATTTAAAACATTGTAGTCTGATGATGACCTAAAAAAATACTGAGCACATACCTAACCACCTAAGCAATGAGCTTTGTTAATTTGTTTTAAATTTGTTTTAAAAACAGGCACACAATGCACCAACATATTACGTGTCTATATGAAAACTTGGTGAACAAATGGGATATTTGAGTTAGTTTATTCTTTAGGAACTTCTTATTTCTATTTTAGTTTTAGATCAATTGGAAATACCTATAATACCCTACCTATCAAAAAGAAATTTGCTTACACCAATCTAACTTTTTTCTAATGACATTCTTGGAAGATAAAAATATCCCTTAGTACACAAATTCAAATTATTTAATTAAAATTAGAGCCTACAATTCAAATTTTGTTATATGGCATCCCAAAAATAAATATATGCATTTGAAATTAGTAGTGCCAAAAAATGAATTGGAATTGAAAATTCAAATCTATCCATATCAATTCCTTCAATCTTAACTTCCAATTCTGTCAATTTCTACCAAAAAGACTGTTATTTCCTCAAGCATTGCGCATGAATTCATCCTACAATCCAATAAAAATCAAGGGAAAACATTTCTAAAACAAAGAGAAAATATAAGAAATCATGCTTTCGATTTCATCAATTCTTTCAAAACAGGACTCAATTTAGCAGGAATTCAATAGCAGAATATCATAGAACCTTTAATCAAAGGGCTCTAATTATGAAGAAATCTAAATTTCATTTGTTTTTGCACCAAGATAATCTAAATTCAAAATTACCATCCAACAAAAAAGCATAAAGTAACATAGAACAGAATAAAATTCAGGGATTGAGTCATTAAAACTATGGTGAAAATCTCTGGCATCTGAAGCAAAAAAAAAACACATAGAAACCTTGGAAGATGAATACAAGTGGACCTCCAAATCAATCGTCGAATAAGCTGAATCCCATTTCATCATCGCTCTCTTCCTTAGGCTCCTCCTTCTTTTCCTCCGCCGCCGGAGCCGCAGAAGCAGCCGCGGGACCACCGCTTGCTGCGGGAGCAGCCACAGCAACAGCAGCGCCGCCGCCGCCAGCGCCGACGTTCATGATGAGATCTTCGATGTTCTTCTTCTCGCAGAGCTTGGCGAAGAGGCTCGGCCAGTAAGACTCCACGTTGACATTGGCGGACTTCACAAGGGTTGCGATCTTCTCCGCCGTGACGGCGATCCCGTCGTCGTGCAGAATCAGAGCGGCGTAGCTGCAGGCGAGTTCGGAGATCGACATTTTCCCGGCAGTCGTGATTTGGCAGGCGGCTCTGAATACGCTCTAGGGTTTGATGAGCGGCGGCCCCGGTTTATTATATAGTGAAACTGATCGAATTAGGGCTTACCAACAGCTTTTGGACTGGGGTACTTTAATGGGCTTTGAATGTTTTGGGCCCAACCCGTATGCAGTTTTAAAACTCAAACTTGCAAGCAAGGCTAATTAATATAGGAGGCCCAATTAGAGAACAATCATGATTAACCGTGTAATTAACCGGAATGGATTGGGTGACCATGAGTTTAAGTGTCATTGGATCACACTTATTTCAATTGGGGTAGTTACGATAATTGACAAAAATGGTGGTTCCTAATACAGGATTCCATGCTGACAACTAGAAAAAATAAATCATCGGAGTAAAACATAAAGAAAGTTTCAAAATAGAAACTCTATATTTTTATCCATAGTTTTCGGAACCGAACCGGTGATCGAACCGGTCAAGGTAATGGTTCACTAGTTTACTGGTCGAACCAGTGGTTCGAGTGGTTGAACCGGTGGTTCAAACATTTTTAATAAATAGATAAATAAATTAATAAATATACTCCCTCCGTTCTCAAAAACACTTCCTCTTTCATTTTTTCCACTTTCAATAAAACACTTCCCTTTTCTATTAAAAAACCACTTTTACCCTTACTTTTTCATACCTTATCTATCGCATCATACTTTTTCTCTAATAATCTATCCATCACATCTTACTTTTACCCATCACATCAGGGACAAAATTGGAAATCAACTACTCCCTCCGTCCCAAAAAGTTTGTTACGTTTAGAAAAAATTGCGTCCCGTAAAGTCCGTTACATTTCTATTAAAAACCACTTTTACCCCTTACTTTTTCATACCCTACATATCACATCATACCTTTTTCCTAATAATCTACTCATCACATCCTACTTTTATCCATCACATCAAGGGTATTTTTGGAAATTCAATACCAAAATATCCCTCCCTTAATTTCCCAAAAAGTCAAACCGTCCCATTCTTTTTGGGACGGAGAGAGTATAATTTAACACTTCCTTATTTTTGCCCCAAATCAAAATGGGAAGAGTTTTTCCAAACGAAGGGAGTATATATACACACACACACACATTGTGGCATTGAATTAAAAAAACTAATACACCCTCCGTCCTAGAGTATTTGTCCACTTTCATTTTTACACACCATCCAATGCACTTCTTTAATCCATTTTATCTTGTAATTTATATATTAAAAAATTATAGAAATTATATATTAATAATCTATATGTTAAGACAAATCAAACAAGATCACACATGACTATATTTAGTCTTACACATTGAGAGAATTTGATGAGTCAAAGTGCTTAGATGAACAGTTCCAAAAATCAAAAGTGGACAAAAACTGAGGGACGGAGGGAGTATATGATTAATAAAATAATATTTCCTCTATTTATAAATAAAGAATTGATTTTTTACTAAATTTATAATTTAACTTAATTTACTTGAGTTGTTTCATTAAATAAAAAATAAAATTTACTTATTTAAAAAATATTAGAAATAAAAAGTGATTTGAATTTTTTTTAAATATTTTATCTAGTATTTAAATATATATATAAAATATTTGTGTGATATACACTCCATATCAATTACCTCAATGGGTTTTGAATTTTGGTAAAAAAAACCATATATACTTAAAAAGTATTTGATAAAAAATTTGAATAAAGAATATAAAAAACAAATAGTTGAAGGTTCTTATGAAGCATTGTAGCAGAGATGGCTTGGACAGGCTCCTTACTCCCATGCAGTCTTGTGTTCAAACCCCAGGCGTGTGTTTTCTAAAATTCTTCATAAAAGATTTGAAAAAATCGGATCCGGCGGTAAACCGCCCGGTTCTCACCGGTTCATAGTCGAAGGCGGTTTGAATGCCCGGACCGGACCGGTTTGGTGTCCGGTTCACCAGTTCTCGGTCCGAACCGGCCGGTCCGGTTTGGTTTTTAAAACTATGTTTTTATCCCTTAAATAAAAGCTCACCCCCTGATAATGTGACAATGTATATAAACTTTTCACAATACTTTTTGATATGTACCCACTCCGTTTCAGCGTATTTTTCCAGTTTGACTTTTTTGAGTCAAACTGGACAAATTTTGAGCTTTAATTATATAAAAACTGTAATATGTTTTAACATAAAAATGACTTTATTGGATTTATCGTATTAAGAACTTTCAAAATTGTATTTCATTATGTTAATATGCAATATAAATTGAGAGTAATTGGAGTTCAAAATTTGTACACTGTGACTCGAAAAAGTCAAATTGGAAAAATGCACTGGGACAGAGGTAGTATGTGATTATGATTAGCACTGTAAATTTATTTTAACTCATATTTTAGAAATAAATACAAGAAACTCTTATTTTAATATATTTTTGATATTTTATTCTTACTTTAATTTTTTCTCACCAGAAAAAGAGTAAATTGGTTTAGGGGTAAAAACTACTGAGTATAAACTCTCTTAAAAGAGTATCTTAAGAGCACTGGTAATACTTTTGAAGCCCCGGGGCTTCAAACTTTCTCTCTCTGCCACGTCAGCTTTAACTTACACCCAAAATTCACTGGAAATGGTTTTGAAGCCCCGGGGCTTCAAACTGGGGCTTCAAACCTTCATTTTTTACATTTTTAAATATACATCTTCTAAATTTAAATTTATAAATTTAAATTAATTTATTATTTTAATTAATCGCAGTGACACTATTGCATAAAAAAAATTAAATTCATTATAAAAAAAATTTTACATTCATAAAAAAAACATTAAAAAAATTACATAAAAAAACAANGGAGAGAGATTTGACAATGGTGGAATAATCCGGATATATTCCATCAGCCAAATAATATCCACGCTTGTAAAGCGTCTCTCTTAGCTCAAAAGAGGAGTCCGGTGCGGTCTCATTAACCCAATCATCAAAAACAGGGGATTGATCGAGAACGTTGATGTCGTTATTCGAACAAAAATAGGGGATTGATAGAGAGAGGTGTGAGGAAGATGTATGAGAAGGGTGGATTTTATAGGTTTTTTTTTAAAAATTTAATTTTTTTTTTAATTGGGGGGGGGGGGGGGGGTTAACGGCATTATAGCCGTTGGGAACAAAAAACGGCTCTCACGCCGCGTCAAACAAATGACGCAGGCGCCCTCACGCCCTTTTCACGCCGGCAGGGGGCGGTGTTTCACGCCCCCGGGGCGTTAAACGCCCCGTAACGTCGGTGGGCGTGAAGTGTATACCGTGTGCTCTAAGTTCTCGAAAAAGCCAGGACCATGTGTAGGAACCTCTTCCATGATCCAAGTGTGATAAAAATAACTTATAAGCGATTTTGTCCAAATTAAACGCCCACAAGATGAAAGTGTTACTCTATCAATTTTAATTTAAGTTATACAATTATTATTTATATGGTCAAGTTTAACTATTTTTGCCTATTTTTGTAATCTTTTTTATAAAATAATATAGTCATATCACATCTTGATTGATATAATTTTTCAAGTAACTTTGAAATACATATTTTGTAATTTTTATTTTTTAACTGTATATCAATGTTAATCGAAATTGAATTTAAAATTTTTTTTGCCATGCATTATAAATAATATCTAGTGCATCACCCAAGCGATGCACGAGAAAAAACCTTATCCTAATTACGAAAAATATTTTATATTTTAAATTATTGGGTAGTATTTTATAAATTGTGCATATGTACATACTTCAATATATAAATATTTACATTTCTATTTAATTTACATACACATACAAAACATAAAAGAAAGAGTATTCGATAGTACTATGTTCAATAGATAATATGAGAATAAATGATAATTAGATAAGATAAGAATAAAACATAGTAAACTGTGTACGCTAAGACCAATTAAACATTCTCAAATACCACGTTATAAATTATATTTGTTGTACTGTTAGCTAGAGTATTTTCAAAATTACATATCATTATTTTTAAACAGTGCGTGAGCGTACCCTAGACATCGCCACATACAACGGTCTGTGCCTGAAATCTGATTCTTTCAATAACAGGCCAATATGAGAATGATTGTCCCTGACTTTTGGTTATGGTAATTGCATATGATATCATAAACGGAAATTATCTTCTTTGAAACTTAAATAGCAATCTCGTATTTGAAGGAATGAATGAAACTCGCGGGATCAAAAGAGCTTGTCCTACATTTTTTTCGTGAATCATTTTTGCTTTGAAGAGACGGTTACCAAGTCTTGTAACAATTAATTATATTCAATTACACAGATCATTAGCATGATTGTCATCTTCTTGTCACCTCCTATTTTATAAATTTTTATATATTTTTAAACGATGTAATTTATATTTTTATTTATATACGAATTTATAATAAAAACGATTTTATATGTATTCCAGGCAATCATAACCTTGGTTGCATTTTTTGTATTTTAAAAAGGCGACCAAAGTGGGGTCAATCTATCATCCATTCGAATGTGTTTGATGCATCTACATGCTCCATTTCTATTTCAATGTGTTTCTTTTTATCTATGCGAATCATTATTTTTAATTATTTTAATAAACTTTATAATAAATTATTGATTTTTATATAGTTGTGGGATTTAGAACAACCTATAGACTTTTGGAATCTAAACAAATTGAATTAATAAACTACATCAATATCAATTTAACTGCAAATAGAATTAAAATAATTCATTAATTTTATGTCATTCACGAAGTATGATATATCTCGTAATCTTTAAAAATCTAAATTGAGTACTTCTCTAAGATTTTGCCTACATGTATTTCAAATCTTCAATCAACACTGAATCTCAATAAAACAATCAAAGTTGTGACTCCTCAAACTTGAATGACTCTTGCTCTTTATATACAACATTCAATGTTATTTTTTGGTGCTAAAATGAAATTTATATTCACTATTCACACGGTTAAATTTTATCTTTTTTTCTTCATTTTTTGTTAAAAAATAAAATAGTTGTGTCACCTTTTTTTATAGAAATATGTTTTAAGTCTTAAATAAATAAAGTTTTACTCTGAGTATCTTTTAATTCAATATCAATTTCCCAAACAAATTGAATTAAAATAAACTTTTAAAAAAAATTGTATCAATATTCAATAATGAGATAAAATCAATCTAAGTTACCTTGTCAACATCCAAATCTAATTTTATACTTTCAGATTACATTGTCAACTTGCATAATAAAGAGAAACATTTCTAATTATATACAAATCAGGAAAAGTTATCAATTGAAACGAAAATCTCAATGCTACATCAGCACTGGTTACACTAATAATCTAACTCAAGTTACACTCGTATATAATGTCTCACTTTCACTGCAATGATTGTATTTTTAATTTTATTTAATATTTACATATTTCTACTCAGGTTAAATTCTATCTTTTAAAATAAAAACAAAAAATTACTTGGTATTTTTTTCTATCTCATATTCAATTAATATTTTATTTTAAATCTCTTTTAATATTTCCATTTTTATATAGAATTTGTTCAAATTTTTTGTCCTGTTTTATTTGTTTTATTTTTTATACAATCAAGAAAATAAGAAAAAAATAAATAAGATTAATAATTGTTATAATAATAATAATAGAAAATAGTTTATTGCACAACTCTACCACCAGTTGTGAAAAATTCATAAAAACCCATTACAAATAACACAAATTCTGTTTTGAGTTTTACATATACGCTTTATTTTTATACCATAACAAAAAACATAAATTAGTTTAATTTAAAAGGAAAAAAAATATAATGGTCTAATTTAATAGTAAAATATGTTTCATTCAAGAATTATAATGATAAAACATAACTCATTCAATTGAAAAGTGTTTGAAAGAAAAATGAAAAGTAAGATATAATTTTATAATTATTATATATATATATATATATATATATATATATATATATATATATATATATAATATTGATGTCATTGGATAGAGGTCGTGAAGATACTTTCAACAGTATATTGCAGAATATTTGACAAGTATTGACTTACATACAAAATTATGAATAAAATAAGGATGCAAATAGAAAAATTAATACTCCCTACATTCAGTTTTAAAATTCACACTTTCTTTTTCGATTCATTTACAAATAATATTCTCTTTTCGTTTTTTAATAAATTTTCTTTCTTGAAACGAATTAAACTAAGTACCCCTAAGTTTTCAATTTGATGATTCTCAGTGTGATTCTTGTTCCATGTCTAAATCTCATAAATTACCTTTTTCATTATCTACTAGTGTTACAACTACACATTTTCAACTAATACATTCTAATGTTTGGAATCCTACCTCTGTTCCTTCGTTTGGTGGTTATCATTTTCATATCAATTTTATGGATGATTTTACAAAGTTTTGTTGGTTGTACCCTCTTAAAAATAAATCTGATGCTTTCAGGCTCCGTTTGGTACATGGAATTGGAATTGAGAACATCAATTCCAATTCTAGTGTTTGGTAGCAAAAAAATTATGTGGATCGGGAATTGATAGTACAAAAAATGAATTAGAATTGGTGATTTCAAATATATTGAATTGAATTCTATGGAATTTCAATTCCAATTTCATATACCAAACGGACTGTCTTTCAAAGTTTTCACTCTATGGTCAAAAATCAACTCGGCACAGACATCATAAAATTTCGAACTTATAATGGTCGTGAATATGTAAATCATAAGTTTGGTCTCTTTTTACAACAATGTGGAGTCCTACATCATAAGACTTGTCCTTACACACCTAAACAAAATGGGGTGGCTGAACGTAAGCATCGTCAGCTCATTGAAACCACAGTGACCCTTGTTTACTCTTTTTCTCTTCCGACTAGCTTTTGGGTTGAAGCTTTAGCTACGGAAAATTACATCATTAATTGCATGCCAAAATGCTCTCTTCTTAATAAGTCTCCCTTTGAGGTTCTGTATCGCACGCATCCTACCTACTCCCATCTTCGTATCTTCGGGTGTCTTGCATACCCTCATCTACGCCAAGAATCGGACCATAAGCTACAACCTTGTTCCAAACATTGTGCCTTTCTTGAGTATGACCAGTTATCAGAAAGATATTGGTGTTATGTCTCTCGTCATGTTCAGTTTAACGAAATAGAGTTCCCTACTCGGTCTCCACCCCTTCCCTCCCTTCACCGTCTTTCTTTGGTATCTTACCCCTCTTCTCTCCTCTTCCTTTGGTGTCCTTAAATCCCCCTCACGTGGACCTTTCCCATCCCAACACCACTATACTTGTCCCTACCTGCCCACCTAGCCGACTGGACTTATCACCAAGCTCTGGTCACACCCTGGCTACTCCTCCAGGTTTCCCGCCTCAAAATTTACCCATTCAGCCTGACGCACCTATATCTCAACCAAATTGCGTCCTGCTTCAACACATCCAGCCACCTACACAATCTGTCCAACACAATACTCATCCTGTAATCCCTTCTCCATTACGCCCCACTCACACAATGAAAACCGAAGCCAAGAGTGGTATTTTTAAAACAAAACCTACCTCAGTTCACTCTTCTCTTCCTGTCAATGAGCTCAATCCGTTTAGAGAGGCCTCCCAATATGAAGTTTGGCGGCAAGCTATCGATGAGGAGTATTGGTCAAGTTTTGGTCGGTTGTAAGCGGGTCTACAAGGCTAAGCATAATGCAGATGATTCCATCTCGCGGTATAAAGCTCGCCTCATGGCAAAAGCATACCCTCAAGTGTATGGGCTGAATTATTCAAAAACCTATAGTCCTGTCGTTAAACAACAAACTATACACATTATTTTCTCTCTTGCGGTTCATTATGATTGGCCTCTTCACCAGTTGAATGTTTCAAATGCTTTCTTACATGCAGAAATTGGTAAAGATATATATTACAGAGATATATTACAGAGAAAATTCCATAATTGATCCTTTATAACAAAGGTTTCCATATTTAGTCCTATATTATCAAATATTACCTCCATAGTCCTTTTTTTAGGGGTACCTTTCCACAAATGGTCCTTTTTTAATCTTCTGTCATGTTGGTGTTAATTTAAAAGCTAAAAGTATAACGTGTTTTGATATTAATTAAGCAGATAACACAAAAATAATGACTATGATTGTGGGCTAGGATTCTGACAAAAGATCACATTTATAGACTATAGTTGTCGTAAAAAGCGACTGTACTTCACAAATGACGCAAACAGAAGAGCCTTTGGAATTGTGTATAACAAAAAAGATATATTATCATTGTGAAATTACACTTTTAGTCCTCAAATTAACACCAACTTGATAGAAGATCAAAAAAGAATATTTGTGAAAAGTACCCATAAAAGAAAGACAAGTAATATTTTATAATAAAAAACTGAATAAGAAAACTCCATGTTACAAGTCATTTTTGAAATGACATGGAGTGTTGGAGTTTTTTTTATTAGGCAGACGGGGTTGTGGGGCATTTTCCCCTTTTATTTTGAGGTGTAGTGCTTCAATTAGTTGGTGGCTGTAATGGAACATCTTTTGTGAAAAATAAAGTTAAGCTGTCATTCAAAAAATAAAAAAAAAAGTTTACTTCGTAAATTAAAAAAATTTAAATTTACTCTATATATCTCAAATTAAACAGTTTATTTTTTATTATCTAAAATACAAAAAACTTCTTATCATAGCCATGAAACCAGATAAAAATTTTCTTTTATCATTATAGATCTTATAATACACCATACTTGAATTCTCAAAAAATTACTATTTAGTAATTCTTATCATAGCAATGTCATTGTTATAATTACTGTTTAGTAATTCTTTTCTACTTCATAATTTCATACTCCATATTATATCATATAAGTAATTAAATGTATTTATTTTCAATTTATATGCTTATTATGTATAACAGCTTTATTCGTCTTTTATTAAATTTGAACTAGAATATTATTCTTATTATGATCGAATGCTACTCTATTTTGAGATTAATTTGGATTTCTCATTCAGGGAAATTTTTTCTTTAAAAAAATTTTAATTTTACTCCATCTATAAAAAAATAATAACTTGCTTTATTTAGCTAAAAACTTCTACAATCTTTCATTGTTTTTGGGAGTTAATCCTGTGTTTCTTACGAATCTTTTAGATTATTAATTAATTTTTCTTTATTTCTAAAATATTTTATCTAAATTTTTCCAAAAATCTTAGACCAAATGACCAATCCTAAATACGAGTATATTAGTACTCCCTCCGTCCCTAAATATTCACAACATTTGCTTTTTCAGCAATCGCGAAAATTTTTGTTTATTTCGAAGTTTCATTGGTTATTTGATAAAATAAAATATTCTTGACACATCTTATTTCAAAGAACTTTTCATGTAGTTTTTTGATATGTTAATTTTATTTTTTATTTCTATACCAAAATGTAAATAAAATGATTTTAAAAAATTTGATATTTTGCCTCAAAAATACAAATGTGGCAAATAATTTAAGACAAAAGTAGTATATATCTCTTCCACATAACTACGAATATTTTTAAACATTCTCCAAACTTCAAATCCCCAGATAAAACTATCAAATCCCCGCAAATTTTTTTTCATTGTCTACAAGTTTTAGTCATGTCATTTGATAGTAATAAAATTATCAAATTTTCTCTTGATCAGTATAACCTTTCATTTACTTTGTACTTAAAAAATTAATTAGTATTAATTTATTTTCTGATTCAAGCAAAAAGAGTCGCAGAAACAGCTCAAAAAATTGTTTTGAATTACGAAATATACATAGATTTGATTTTAAAATTATAATAAAACGGCTATAAATTCCATAGAAATCACAATAATTTTAAATCAAACTGAAACAAAAATCATTTATCTCCGAAATTGATCTCTTTTATTAAATAACGAAAATTCTGCATTAATGTAGATATAAAAAATGATTAAAATAAAAGGAATAAGCTAATCAAGAATAAATTGCAATTTAAAAATTGAGGAAAGAATCGATCAGACAAAGCTTTCTAGGCTTGCATTATGCATCAAAACAGCCTTCAAAAGGCCTCTCTCAGAGCCCAGTGCGATCATCACGTCGATTCGTCTTCTGCAATTATTACATAAATTCTTCCAGAAAAAGTAAATCGAATGAAATTAGTTCTTTAAAGATGGGAAAATCCTCAGAAATTTTGCTTAAAGCTATCATCAATGATATTGTACAGGTCTCAAAGGTTTACCATCATTGGATCTTCCCAGATTCGGATTCATCACTCTCGATGCCAAAATATGTAAAAACAATTAAATAAAAAAATATTTAAAAAAATTGAAATACGATTGATTATTGGGCAATTGTAGATGCGATGATATGAATATAGCAGGATTTTATTAGCTGCGCCGGTGGAACAACGGCGGCGAAGCGACTCAACTTTCCGGCGACAATTTCTGCCTCGATCGGAAAACTCGGAGAACCCTTAATCAAAGGCCTCTTATTCAGAGGCAAAACGAAAGAAATCTGGATTTCAAAGAAAAATACGATCAAAAAAAGATGAAGGCATGGGGTGGGGCAGAATTGAAGCCCCAATTTATAAAGTGAAACTTGAAGAATTAGGGTTTGGGCAGGTTCTGGACGGGCGTAAAAAGCCGGTTTTTGCAACTTTAATGGGTCTGCAATTACTTGGGCCAAACCCGCATGCAGATTTTTCAAATCGTATGAATATTCCAACTATCCAACTCAATTAAAATGGGTGAAAACTCGGAGATAAAGAATGAGTTAGGGGCTGTTTGGCAATTTCTGAATGGGTAAGTGCTGAACCAGTAAGAGGTCTGAACCATTAAGTGTTGAACCAGTAAGAGATCTGAACTATTCAGAGCTAGTATATTGCTTAACTATTCAGAGGCAAATGTCTGATCAATTCAGATAAGAGGTCTTAATCATTCAGACTCTGTATAATACTTAACCATTCAGAGGCAAATCTCTTAACCATTCAGACATCTGAACCATTAAGAGGCTGAAACAAACAGTCTGAATCATTAAGTGCTGAACCATTCAGACATCTGAACCATTAAGAGGCTGAAACAAACAGCCCCTTAGATAATGAATGGTAATCCATAACATCACTATTTTCCCGCCCAATGCACTCATCTCCTGCACCGTCGATATCAAGGAACAAATAAGATCTACGGCTATAATTGGTTGTGTAATATTACTTATTTAGAATGATAAATTAAAAGAAATTTTGCATGCATAATCACTCTATTCTGATAAAAAAGAAGGAAGTAATTTATTTCCTAACCAATTTCGCCTAATTACTTGATTGTGATAAAAAGGAAGGGACAGTATATGATTTTTTATATTTTGTTTCCTTTTTAAATAGGTAATTATTTACGCCTAATTATTACTATTATTATTATTATTATTACTTGGAATAATTTACGCCCGATTATTTTATCAAAAAGTAATTATATATGTCTAATTAAATATGTAATTATTTACTTAATCACTTTATTCTTAAAAGGAAATACTTTTAAGAATAATAAAATGATAAATTAAAGGAAATTTCGCATGCATAATTACTTAATTCTGATAAAAAAAGGAAGGGACTAATTTTGCAAACAAGATCTACGTTGTTTCCTTTTTAGAATAATTTTGCATGCATAATTACTTAATTACTCTATTCTTATTTAGAATGATAAATTAAAGGAAATTTCGCATGCCTAATATATTTCTAAAAGGAAACAAAATATAAAAAATATTATTTATATAAACTTCTTTTTTAATATCGAACTTTTTTATAAAATTGGAATTGATATAATAAAAAATGATTACCATTCAACTAAAAATAAGATTTGTCCATAAAAGATAACAATCACGTTAAGGTGTAAATTTTTTAATCAATGCATTAAATTTACAGTTTCGTAATTTATATAATTTCCAATTAAGAAACAAACCATTTTAATCATACAAACCATTTGTTTCCTTTTCAGAAAGAAATCAAATCTAAAAGAAATGTCAAAGTAATACATATAAATGGTGGTACATATAGTAAGTGTTGAATAAATAAATGATACTACCTCCGTCCCAGAGTATTTGTCCACTTTCATTTTTACACACCATCGAATACACTTCTTTAATCCATTTTATCTTGTAATTCGTATATTAAAAAATTATAGAAATTATATATTAATAATCTATATGTTAAGACAAATCAAACAAAATCACACTTGACTATATTTAGGCTTACACATTGAGAGAATTTGATGAGTCAAAGTGTTTAGATGAACAGTTCCAAAAGTCAAAAGTGTACGAATATAGCGGGACAGAGGGAGTAATTAAATTATAAATCACCGTGTAATAAGAATAGATCATTTATTACCGTGTAACAAGAATAATAATATTAATATATCAATCGTGTAACAATATTGTCGTATTTAATCGTTATTAATTTATTACCATGTAAGAAGAATGATAATAATATACTGTGTAATAAAATTACCGTGCTTAGTCATTATTATCGTCTAATAATTCTAATCTAAGAAACTTTCAATTTAAAAATGTTTCCATTTAGAGAACATGACCAAACTTAATATTACCATATTTAATCATTATTAATTTATTACGGTGTGATTACGTTAAGAAAATAAGCTTTTAATTTAATTATGTTTCCATTTAGAGATTCGGTGCCAAATATTTTATGAAGAAATTTAAATATATAAGTTTATGCATTTAAGGAAGGCACAATTAAAAATATCAAAATAAAAAATAATAAAAGAAATTAAATATAAAAAAATGTCAAAGTAATACATAAGAATGGTGGCACATATGTTAAGTGTTGAATATAGAAATAATAATTAAATCATAAATTACTTTGTAGAAAGATTAAATCATGTATTACCGTGTAGAAAAAATAATAATACTAATATACCGTGCAAAATGTATTTAATCATTATTAGTTTATTGTCGTGAAAGAATAATAATAATAATAATAATAATAATAATAATAATAATAATAATAATAATAATAATATACCCTGTAATAATATTATCGTGCTTAGTTATTATATCGTGTAATAAATTTAACCAAATAAGCTTTCAATTTAATAATGTTTCCATTTAGAGATTCAGGCCCAAACGTTTTATGGAGACATCGTTTTAAGAAGTGTGCCTTTAATACATGGAAAATGTATTGAATAATATATATACTTTTATATGTTGAACAATCAACCACTAATTAATAATTTACCCGTAAAAAATTAGATGCATGGAAATAGAAAAATACTTTAATTTTTTCATACCTTAAATACAGTCATTCTCAATCACTTTTCGTAATTAGCCTCTTTCAAATTTTTTGAATGACTTACACTCTCTTGAGTTCTTAAATAAGATTCATGCTTTCG